TTATTATTAGAAATATTTAACATTTTGATATTTTTAATGTTTAATATTAATATTAAATACATAATATATTAGATTATGTATTAACTGTTTATACTATTGCAATAGGTTTTGATATGAATATAGTGCCATTATTCTATATAGTCATTATACAGAGTAGAGTGGCAAAAATTATGAAGTCAAAATGAGGGGGAAAAACAGAAAAAATGGGGGAAATAATAAAAGGTGGAAAAAACTGTGGGGAAAAATAGGAAATAGGAAAAAAAATCAGAAAAAAAGATGGAGGGATAGTAATACCATCAGCACTTGATACTGCGTCTTTTCTCCAACGAAGGTGACACTGATAAGCAAAGCCCCAGGCGGCTTCTTCAATAATTCTCCAAATGTTGCACACAAACGATGTTGTTCATGATGGTCAGGCTGCATTTGTGGCTTTTGCTTCTGACCGAAAAATGTGCCTACATCGTACTACCCTGAATCCTACTCATTATTGATTTCATCTCCTGAAGAAAATAGTAAAAAAAAAGTGCTTATTTATTTTTAACAAATAAGGCATGCAATCACTATACTGGACAAAAGGCAATATATGTTTAGTGTTTTTAGTGATTCTCCACCAGCATACAGCCTCATGCATCAGTTGTGTACTTGACTTGAGCCTCATCACTACTGCAAGCATACATGACTGCATTAAAAACGACCGTATTGTGACAATGATGTGCATTTAAAGCAATGCTGTTCAATCAAAGAGTGCTGTATGACCAGGAGTACGACACTGCACAGTGAAATGTCAATGCCCCCACCGTCTGTTTTACAGAAGTCATTCCTCCCACTCTACACTGACATTTAGTGCAGACGTCGGTCATCTGTGCCCCTGAAATGGTACAGAGCCACTCTAGCACCTGTGAACTATTTCCAGTGCAAAGCATGGTTCGTCCGAATGTTATGCCTGTCCGGCATTATAATCAATCATCAAATCTTTTTGTTAACAAATCAGCCAAAAAGGTTGGGTAAGACAAGAGTCACCAGACATTATTTTCCAGTTTTGTCTGAATCGATTAAAAAATCCGATTTGCCAAAAATTATTATGTGATAGGGCACAGCAGAGGCATGTAACCTTCATTATGAGTATATTCGCTCCTCTTCAGGCACTCAGAACCGAATTGAATGAGACTGCATGTTAGACGAAATGCAATAACTCAGGGAGACACGGTTTCATTATTCTTAAATCACCCCTGTTCTGTCTTGTTCATTTAATTTTCATTTCGGCTTGGGGTTTGCAGTCATTGGTCCGAATAGTGGGAAAGGTATTTTTTCGATATGACAAATCATAAAACATGAGGGTAGACGAGGGCGATGCCCATAGCCAAACCTGTTTGTGTTGCTCACTGGAGAGCAGAGATAAGACTGTTTAATTGCACTTTTTGTAATCTTCCCTCCCACTGTCTAATTTCTAGCTATGAGAAACCAGGCTGTTGACACGTCATTCTCCAAAAAGGCAAGATAAATATTTCATCCACAAAGACAACAGATGCCTTGTTTTCAAAAGATTGATCTGTTGTATCATGCAGCACAGCAATAAAATGAGGCAAAGAGCTATGACTGCTGCAACCTCAAATGAAACATGAAAAGTTAAGGGATATTTCTGGAATTTCACACACTGACAGAAACCATAATCACCTACACAAATGCGAACCAGCCCACATGTCCAGAAGACAGCGGCATAAGTGACTCTGTAATGCTCCACTGCGGTAAATGCAAAACACCATTATCAAGCCCTCCGACATCAGATGACAGTCCTCTAATGCACCTGGCTCAGCATAATCACTTAACATCAGGGCTAAACACACACACACACACACACACACACACACACACACACACACACACACAAATCTGTTAGATTCTCTCTAATTTGTATGCTTACTCCCCCATATCTAGATCCAATGACAAACACACACACACACACACACACACACACAGAGACTATACCTATATCACTGTGATGAATCAACTCAGAGACATGGAACACATTTCTTCCTCCACTAAACATAAGCTAGAATACATTTTTCAGATCTGTCATACTGAGACTTGATTTGAAATTGTCATACCGCTATCTCACGCTATGTGGTTTCACAAGGCCAATTCATCTTTGAGGACAATGGCCAAACCATCCAATGTGGTAGCTTTGAGCATCCCTAAGTCTGTATATGAAGTCAGATCAGATGTTTAGTCAGATAAAGTACACCACTATGGGACAAGACTGGCCAAGACTACAAAACAGCAACAAAAATGCTTGGAGATTTCCTGCAAAGAAAATATTAAGCTATGAAATTATTTACATTCAGTACAAAGAATCATCTGACCCATTCATTATGTTTGGGATCTATGCTTTAGTCTTTATACGCTTTGTATAATTACCAACCAAATCCACTAATATATCATATCTCCATCCCACTGACATCTGAAAATGTGACCACCACATTATGTCTCTGTATAAATAATTCTGAAAATATAAATAGAGGAAAACACATGTGATGATGTGTTGGGAATTGTCATGAGCACCCATCAAGTAAAATGTTTTTGAGAAATAAAAAAATCGATTTTGTTTTAAAAAAGAAACAATAAAAAAAAAACATAAATTAGTCATATGAAATGCTGCAAGTAAATGTAGGCATCACATAATTATATTTAAAAATATATTTATTATACATATTAATATTTTATTCTTAATATTGTTAATATAACTTTTTATTATATAAATTATAGATATGTGACCCTGGACCACAAAACCAGTCATAAGGGTCCATTTTTCGATATAAGCTGAATATATAAGCTTTCCATTGATGTATGGTTTGTTAGGATAGGACAATATTTGGCCAAGATAGCTAATCAAAAATTAAGTTTTAATATATTTACAGTGGGAAATTTACAAAATATCTTCATGGAACATGATCTTTACTTAATATCCTAATGATTTTTGGCATAAAAGAAAAATCTATAATTTTGACCCATACAATGTATTTTTGGCTATTGCTACAAATATACCCCAGCGACTTAAGACTGGTTTTGTGGTCCAGGGTCACACATAATATTTATTATATAATAAAAAAATTCAATTTCAAATACATGCTGTTTTGAACTTTCCATTCAATAAAGAATCCAGAAAAATATATCAAAATTTTCAAAAATATTAAGCAGCACAACTGTTTTCAACGTTTATAATAATAAGACTTGTTTCTTGAGCACCAAATCAGTATATTAGAACAGTTTCTGAAGGATCTCGTGACTCTGAAGACTGGAGTAATGGCTGCTGAAAATACAGCTTTGCCATCACAGGAATAAATTACATTTTAAAATATATGGGGAAAAAAACCCTGAAAATGATTAAATACAATAGATTTTGTTTGAGAGATCAAATAATCGCATGATGCATGAGGTTAAGCACTAATTGGATGGTTTTAACCAGATTTTCAAGCACTGTGCTTCAAAACAAGAGACTTTAGAGCTAAAGCTGAAACCGAAATAAGACAAACGCAACTGTGCAAATATCCAGGCAGATGACAATGAGACGTTCTCTAGAATTTTCCGGGAAACGACGCACTGAAGGAAATCAAAGACAAGCACTCTGATTTGTGTTGAGCACTGCTGCTTTTTAGATATTCCCTTGTTTAGATATTCCCTTGTTTGATCTCTCCGCCAAAATCAGTGTAGTAGAGAACATTTGCATAATGGAAGTTATATACATGTCCGTTGATTTCAACTCATGTCTTTCAATAAGTCAGTCAGGACAAAAGGCATTCAAAGCAGAGGTTGCAGGGCAGGACAGCGTCTTCGTTTATAATCATACAAACTGAAAGTTACACTTCAAAATGCTAATATATGACCACTATTCGCATGCCTCTGAATGCAAAGGAAAAGCTCTGAAAAATCCCTCTTAGTTTCATTTCTGTCTCCACCTCGTGCTGCCAAGGCAAAAATCAAAAACGTGACCTTGTTAAATGATTGGTGCCAAAATGAGGTGCACGTCATTCAGGCTCTTTCTTGATCAAGACAAAAAGGAAGGAGAAAATACATTTTCAGAAGCAATTATTTTTCTGGAGTGCCTCCTCAAACTTTTCAATCATTTTAAATTAAAAGATAAAAGCTTTTTTGAGAGTACTTGAGGGCAGAAACAAACAGATAATCTGAACCTGTGGAGTGCAGCTCTGCAGTGAACCGAATGCTAATGGTGGAAGCCCATCTGCCCCCATCACACATTATTGGATTTAATTCTTTAGATGAATATAGCTTTGGATGGCTGCAATCATAACTCTTGTTTATTTCCATACATCAATTAGGACAGAAGCAAAAGAGATCAACCTCCCTGATTATCAATGTCAACTCTGTCCATTAAAATGGAATAAACGCATTACGGACACTACGACATTGGCTAATCATTCTCGTGGATATCTTATAGTAACTTTTGGGTGCTACCAGGCAGCAAATGAACTCATTATCCAAAACCTAGACCCTTCGATAGCCTGTAATTCTGCCACAACGAAAGGAAGAAAGGCAGGAGAAATAGTGGAAGTATGGCATCTCTCTCCTCGATGTGCAGACATCTGCTGTGCTTATCGTTGGGTCTGCTCTAAACTGCATTAGATAACTCTTGTCAGAGCTAACTGGCTCATAAGGGTCCCTAATTAGGGAGATGGGCATGTTTGTAAGCATTGGACTGTGCAGAGCTGTTTCATGTGGCTGTCAAGGCTTTATATGTACTTCTCAGAGCATTTAATCAAATTCCATGTGAAGGAAAAACCACAAAACAGAAAAGGGAGAACAGATTTACCACAGTGTAAAGTCATACAATATATGATACAATGTCAAACAACTGAATTAATCAGCAGATACTTGACTATTTTGAAATTACAAGGACTCTGCCACAAAGCATACAATGTCCTTATCACGGTTACTGTATATTCTTGTGATGGAAAGCGCTTTATGCTTTATGTTTTGTGACATACCTCTCGTCGCCTGGAGGCCCAACAGGTCTGTTTGATCTTCCAAAGTTAAATTTGTTTTTAAACCACAGCGCTTAAAATGCGTTTAAATGAAAAGCTTAACCTACATCATGCCACGCAAAACGATTGATAGGCTATATTTCTACCGGTTTCTCTCTCAACCCATAAGCGAATAATTTGTTCAAACACAAAAAGCAATATACATCCATCAAGTTGTTTACTTGTTAATCAAACTAACCTAAAATCTGTGGGGACGATGACGCTGTGATTTTATCTGCTCCATGTGCCCGGTCCACTTGCTGTTTCACAACTTCCACTCCATCATCAGCTTTAGTAAAATAACCTGATAGCTGGGGATTTTACTGACTAACTCATGTTTTCCCCTCTCACTTCATTTTTTTTTAGAATAGCCCCTCTCTCACTTTCTTTTAGAATAGTTTACATTTTTACTTATCGAAGATTGTTCTTTGCATGACCATTTCCAGATTATGCCAGAACGAAGTGAAGAGAGGTGAATGCGGACATTGCAGCGATCACCTGATTGATACGTGGTGCACGGGTCGTTCAAAAGTAAAAATATAGAATAAATGCATTTGATTGGTAAACCAAATTCAAACGTTACGTTTTAATCTCTAAAGGTAATGCATGGAATATATGGAAAAGCTCCACTAAATAATAGCGCTAATATGTGAGGGGCGGGGCTTTGGCAATCGGCGCTACCGATGACCAGTCAAAATACCCCACAGCCAATCACGGGCCCCCTCCTTGTCCGGGCCCCGGGGCTTCAGCCACACCTAGCCCAATGGTTAATACGGCCCTGGTTGGAGCAAGCAGTTAGCTTTACTGATCTGAGCCCTTTAATTGATATTTAACAGATGCTTTGATGTTTGATGTATTGGTGTAAGATTTATTATTTATTTGTTATAAATAAACTTTGTTTGCTTCCAGGTTCAAAATAAAAATTAAAATAAGATAACTAACAGAATAATCTAAAAACATGCATCACCACATTGCTATTTAAAATATAAAAATATATTTCATTAATATTCCAGCAAAAACACTATCTATATCATGGCATATTGTTACTGTGATATTAAATTACTCATACTGTAATATAAAATTTGAGTCATATTGCCCATCCTTCAAATCACAAATATACAATTGCCATTAATAAAACACAACTTCATGTTACTTTAATGCAACACTTGCCTCTCATCTCTTATGTCTTCATTTGTAAGTGTTAAAAAAAGCTTTGCACTATGAGCAAGTATGGCTCAGTGACATATTTATGTTTATACCGTCCAATAGATGAAAAATATGAAAAGCAAAACTTGGTCAAACCAAGCCAAAACTTGGTTTGCTTTGTTGCATCTTGTTAAAGATTTTACAGTGCAATAAAAGATAATCCCACTTTAAAAGATTAAAGTAAATGGACAAAAGACAAGTCAACACATTTCTGAAACGCGCAGAAGGCCTTCCAGTGGTCAAGCTGAGAAATCTGATCTTTTCAGTCAAGTGATATGGTCTGGCTAGTCTCCCGTAGCCAGACCTTCAGACTGACGGCTGAAGGTCTGGAATTCATGGCAGCATTCATTAGCCAAGGCCCGCCCATGAGGCCATTTGACCGACATGTCAAACAACCAATCACAGTTTGTTTCCTTTCAGCGTCACGCTTCGGGGCGTGGAAATGTCGCCACAATAACAGACCGGTGTGTAAAACTCTCGGACGTATTTGAAAGATTCTATGCCGCGAACTTGAAATATTTCACATACTTTTGAAAATCCAGCGTTTAGTTGATCCTGATAAGCGCTCATCACGACGGCTTTCTTCTTTCGTGAGTGGGTTTGGAGCCACAGCATCTTTGTTTCCAGGCGGAACGTTAAAGAATGCGACACACACGTCTCCTGGAAATCCTGTATAATTCAACCAATCCGATGACCACTTCAAAACTCCTGAAGTGTTTCCCCTTTTGTGTGCCATATACATCAGACGTTCAGCCAACGGTCCGTGGGCATGACATCTGAGGCTGAGACTATGGTCTGGCGATGTGCTTCAAAAGGCAAATCTTAAAAACTGCGCCGACAGCGAAGTCATGAATTGTAAGGAAATTGCTTTTGCTGACTGTATTTACGGAGATATGTGAGCATTCGTAAACATCTGCGTGTGAAATTAATTCACGGTTCGCACAGATGAAAAAAAGATGTGGAGAAAAAAAAAAAGAATGATGAAATCCTTTTAATGCTTTCAAACGCACGCCATCTTGGGGTCGTTTGAAGAAAATGGCAAATTGGAGACGAATGGGGAAGAGAGAAACTTGAATGGCTCGATTAAGTAGCAGTGCGGTAGAAATCCCCCTTCAGATCGGAACCTTTCATCCGGTGCATTGCAGGCAGTAAACAGGACTTAATTCCCTCCGCGGTTACACCTGGAATCCGAATACGAAAAATAAAGCAATTAAAGGTTCTCGCCCCTCGTGTGGTGGTACATTCGGTGGCTTGAGTAAACGTGAGAAAATGAAGGTGGCATCCGGGGAAAATTCAAAGCAGAAGACAGTATGAAAGGTGTGGAATGAGCTGTGGGAGAAAGAACGGAAAAGCCAACTGCTATACAATGATAAAAAAGGTGTATCTAAGTTTAAGTAACTCGTTTGCTCTGATCCAACAAACAAACAAACCACTCCACTGACTTGGAGAAGGCTTTTTTTCCCCCATTTGCAGGAGCAGAAAAGATCCAGATCAACAAATTGATGATTAAACTTTGGACTAAAGTGTTATTTAGATAATTAGCAGCAATTAGGTAGATGAGCAGCCTTGTATTGACCCATTTCAGGAGTCACGTCAGACGTTTTAGGGCAAAATGCAGGTGTTATTCCAAAGATCTGCATTTCTTCTTCTTCTAGTGCAGTCCATTGTGTTCTGCAACATTAACATTAGACTTTAATAACAGAATACAAAAAATAAAAGTCAGAGATTGCAACGGACAGCTAACAGAAAAGGAACTAGGAGATACTAACGATGCAATGAAGATGACACACATTCCCCTTAGGCCAGATGAGTTTTCTTCAGTCTCATAAAGGACCACTGACATCAACAAGACCATATGAGACAAAAATGTCACTGTCATCCCCCTGATGATTTCATTTTCTGCCAATTGAGCAACCATTTTTAGTCTTCCTGGCATCCCTGACTGTCTCATTGCAGTGAGAGTAGGATCCAAAGGACGATCGTATGGCATGACACCCCTCTTACAATCGATGTTTAGTCAAACTCGTAGTCAAATCACTCCGCGTTACAGTTTGCTGACTCACTGAGCTCCATGTAAATGAGCAAATGTCTGGGAACTGAAATCATTTGAAGGACATTTTTGGTAATTTCGCAGATGCAGACATCAAGAGGCACGTCCCCTGTCTCATCTGAATGAAGCAATCTACGTGCAGAATGGATAAAAAGAGACAGTTACAGCAAACCTGGGAGGGAAGGTACTCTTGTCGAACCCTGAAGACTGAACAGCATGCGCTAGATATTAAATAAAAGCAAATGGATTGCAGGAATTGAACCAAATGCATTATCTTGCATTTAACAAAGAGACTGTTAAAAGCCATTCACAGGGTGGAAATGCATTTTCGCTATTGCTCATGGTAACCACTCTAATTTCAGGTTGCACACTGACAAGTTCTCAATCAGTGATACATTTCTGACACCCTCCTGCAGAGCCCTTTTTACAGAGAGGGTCATTTTTTAGATTATAATAACTGGAAAGATTATATTATAAGGAAAGTAATATAACAGGTTTGTATGTTAGGCAGCATCTGTGGCAGTTTTGGTCTATTTCCACTTTTAATGTGTTGTATTTCGGAGAAGCGGTTCATAATTCAGGGGGAGATGTGTGGAGAGATATACCTTGTCAGCGACCATCTCTCTAGCTGTACTGGTAATTGAACAGAATCTGCCTGAGGCTAGTCTTGATTCCAGCTGTCATGAGTTTGGCTATCTGACTCGGTGGGATAAAAGCACAAATCACATTGATGAAATCAGGAAACCGCTCATTGCAGGAAAACACTCGACTGGCAGCACACATCCTGCCTACTGCTAACTCCCATACAACGATGCCTAAATATTTGTTTGTTTTTTGAAAAAGTGACACTTTCTGAGGGAAAGATACAGTACATACATACAACGGTTCACTAAGTTTGGGGTTGGCAATTTACCTAGGGTGCATTTATTTGATCATAAAATACAGTAAAAACAGCAATGTTTTGAAATACTATTACGATGTAAAATAACTGCTTTCTATTTTAATACATTTTAAAATGTAATGTATTCCTGTGATAGCAAAGCTGAATTTTCAGCAGCCATTACTCCAGTCTTCAGTGTCACATTTGGTCTATTTCCACTTTTAATGTGTTGTATTTCGGAGAAGCGGTTCATAATTCAGGGGGAGATGTGTGGAGAGATATACCTTGTCAGCGACCATCTCTCTAGCTGTACTGGTAATTGAACAGAATCTGCCTGAGGCTAGTCTTGATTCCAGCTGTCATGAGTTTGGCTATCTGACTCGGTGGGATAAAAGCACAAATCACATTGATGAAATCAGGAAACCGCTCATTGCAGGAAAACACTCGACTGGCAGCACACATCCTGCCTACTGCTAACTCCCATACAACGATGCCTAAATATTTGTTTGTTTTTTGAAAAAGTGACACTTTCTGAGGGAAAGATACAGTACATACATACAACGGTTCACTAAGTTTGGGGTTGGCAATTTACCTAGGGTGCATTTATTTGATCATAAAATACAGTAAAAACAGCAATGTTTTGAAATACTATTACGATGTAAAATAACTGCTTTCTATTTTAATACATTTTAAAATGTAATGTATTCCTGTGATAGCAAAGCTGAATTTTCAGCAGCCATTACTCCAGTCTTCAGTGTTGCATGATCCTTCAGAAATCATTCTAATATTCTGACTATAACTGAGATATTCTAATATAACTGACTTCAAATTATTAAATGGTAGTGTACGTGGGGGTGAACACTATTATGGATGAACACTTTAAAAAAAGAAGAAAAATCATTGTTTGACACTTTATCCTATTTGACAGCTGTACCACACCTTGCCATGGCACATTTTCCACAGCAATTCACAAGGTTAAAACAAGTAATCTGGCAAGTACACAACCATTTGAAGCATTTGAAATCAACTATGCTTCTTCTCACCTATTGCTTCTAGATGTCAAGGGAAGGCGCGCTGAAGCTGGGGCAATTTCCTGTATGATGCGTGAGCATCATACACACAACAGCATGTGAACTTCCCAGATGACAGAACGGTTTTCAACGCCTGACAGTTTCTCATTCACCTCAAAAGACTGTGTTCTTTCTTCACCTATATTTGAATAAATGATGTTGGTGAGCAGACGCTTTTGAAGGTGCTTCTGACGGTATGTTTGAATTTAGCAGACTGCTAGAAGGAAATGCCAAGCTTCTATTACAAGCATTTTCTAATGTCGGTAAAGTAACGGATTAATGGAAGCATGCTTGTGCTGCAAGTGTTGAGGACTACACACACTAAGGCATGCTTGAAGTTAACTAGTTAAACTGATTGCCCAGGCAGTCAGAAACAAGCGAGCTGTATAACATGACTGTTTGGAGCACAAGTTGACCCCGTGTCGGAGTGCATCAGCGTTTGACACCAGCTTCCAGAGGGGGTGTCTAATCCAGGACAATGATCTGAATCCAGGACAAGCACCAGAGGGTGCAGGAGCACCAAGAGATTGACCATTTAGAAAGAGAAAGATGCCCTCTACAACCAAATCTAATAAGAAATAATGGGAACAGGTGTGCATTTAATGGCAAATCAAGAAATTGCACAGAAATGAACAAATCAGGATTACTGATCTACCTTGTGGCAATGACACCTCGTACAAATGAGGGGGCAGAGCAGTTTTGCATGAAGCATTGCGTGGTAGCAAGTTGTTTACAACATCAACAGTTCATTTTCAGTTGTATTTTGTCTAATCTTGTGCAGCCAAAACCAAAAATGCTGTCATTGCTTACTCACCCTCAATTTGTTCCATTTCAATATGAATTTATTTCTGCTGTGCTGCTTAAGGAGACATTCTGAAGAAAATTCTGGTTGTATTTTTTTCCAGGAAAAGTGCTTGGAAAAGGGTTGTATGCAATTACAATTAAAAAGGTGCTGAAAGGTGTTTTCAAGTTTCAAAAAAGACACAAATGCAACATTAATGTGGTTCATTGTATTATGTGGTGTGCATTATATTCTGAAGTCATATGATGGCTTTATATGAGAATCAGACCTAGATTGAAGTCATTATTAATATTCTTTCACTCCATGAGTCAATACGACGTTTAAACCCATTTTGTAAACCAAATCAAAAAATGTATTGAAATTATTTGACTCTCAACAAGTATTTTTTCCCAAATCGGACATTGTTATGTAATGTAGCGCCAAAAAAAGCTAGACTGGATGTCAAGTTTTTCAATAAACTTTAATTTCCCACTACTTAGGTAATACATTTCTTTAAAAGACTTGGAATATACAGTAAAGATAAACAGACGATTAGCAGGCGATTTCAGAAGGAATCCTCAAAATGGGCAGTTTTGCATGAGGGTGAAATTGGTGATGCAAATTTACCGCGTTTATCAACAGAAAGCTGCTTGGTTTGAAAGTGACTTCTATGTAAGCGATGCTTAAAGGGATAGTTCACCCAAAAATGAAAATTCAGTCATTAATTACTCGCCCTCGTGTCATTCCAAACCCTTCGTTCATCTTCTGAACACAAATTAAGATACTTTTGATGAAGTCTGAGAGCTTTCTTACCCTGCATAGACAGCAATGCAACTACCAAGTTCAAGGCCCAGAACAGTAGTAAGAATATCATTAAAATAGTCTGTGACATCAGTGGTTCATCCGCAGTGTTATGAAGCTTTCTGTGCACAAAGAACATTGCTGTTGAACCACTGATGTCACATGGACTGTTTTAACGATGTCCTTACTACCTTTCTGGGCCTTGAATGTGGAGAAAGCTCTCAGATTTCATCAAAAATATCTTAATTTGTGTTCCGAAAATGAACGAAGGTCTTATGGGTTTGGAACGACATGAGGGTGAGTAATTAATGACAATTTTCATTTTTGGGGGAACTATCCCTTTAATTAATTGCTACAATAATGACTATGGATCTTTTTCTCATGACATTTCGCCATTTTGACTGCAATTCTATCAAAGTGCATTACATCAGATCATTTAGGACTTTAGTTGAATACGGTAGTGTAAGCAATAGGGCTGTCAACATTTTTTTAGAATTTCGAATATTCGTCGAATTAAAAAAAGAAATCCGCATTCGAATGCAAAAACGTTGCATTCGAATTTAAGGTCTGCGTCAGCCGTCAGGCAGCCTTATCAGTGGCGCACGAGATGCGATGACGATGTATGTGTCATTGATTGCATTTGAATGCTTTTGTTAGCCTACCCAGTTGAACCAACTAGATGCGGCACTGCTACGTTGTTCATTCATATATTGTGGAAAACGAGAGCATCAGTGTGGAGATGATGTTGTTTACGTCAAAACTGAAACCAAGCCGTTCATACAGAACGCATATTTATCAAATTTTCTAGAGGGACATCTATCAGCGTTGCACTCACGTCTCGCAGAGAGCGGCATGTTTAGAAAGCCATGTAAAATTAATGCAAGTTCAACTTTTAAAAAACATGTCTAAAGACGTTATGGCAGTTTTCCCCCATCCCACTGTATCTCATGTTTCCCGATTGCACTGCAACTCGTGTTTTTAAATGAAAAAGTACTCTTTGCGATTGGTTTTCGGTCCTTTGTATTAAACTATACATACATGCATGGTGCTGTTTTTTTCTTCTAATTGTTCAAGCAACTTTATTAATTATATATGGTTTATAAACATTATTTTAAACATTATGCACTTTTTTTCAAAGATAGTCGTGTTATTAGTCATGTTAAAGATAGTTATTACGCTTTGAAGAAACATGCATAATATTTTGCTCGATGCGCCCTCTTGTGGCCTCAGGAGAGAAGCCAAAAGCTTTTTCCCCCCTAACTGAAATTATGCCTTTTAAATTCGAATATAATTCGAATTTTGATTATATTTAAGTAGAAAATTCGAATTTAGTTTTTCAGTCATTTTGACAGCCCTA